GCTGAAGAAGTTCATGACCTGCATGCCCCTGGAGCTGCAGGTCTTGGTGAAGGAGAGGCGTGTGCAGAGCTTCGAGGAACTGAAGGTCTTGCTGAGAAATAAGGAGAAACCCAGGAAATGGGTGAGTGGGACCCTCATGATGGGCAGGGGGAAGGGAGGCCGGTGAATGTACACAGCGGCATTCTTTAATTTTCTGTGTCTTATTTTTTAAATATATTTTTGTTGATTTCAGAGAGGGAGGGGGAGAGAAACATGATGAGAGAGAATCATTGGTTGGCCCCTCCTGCATGCCCCTGCAGTAAGAATTGAGCCTACAACCCAGTGGTGTGCCCTGGCCTGGAAACAGTTCGTGACCTCCTGGTTCATAGGATGAGACCCAACCACTGAGCCATGGCAGGCAGGCCGCATTTGCATTCCTTAGATGGACATCTTTGGACATTGGATCTCTGTCCTGAGGCTCATTTTCCCAATGACCTCAGAATAACCTCAGGGGGTAGACTTGTCGGTTCTGCCTCATGGGTGAGGAAACTAAGGCACAGACCAGGTGCAGGGATGCCACCTTTCTCTCCAGGGAGCCTCTGACAATGTTGGGAGACATGTTTGGTTGCCACCATTTGGGAGGTTGCTATTTGATTGATTGATTAAAACAATTCCTTTTTTAGAGAGAGAATGAGCAAGGGAGAGAGAGGGAAACATCCATGTGTTGTTCCACTGAAAGTGTGAGTGTTGAGTAGGACACCTGCAAGGAGTAGGATACATCCCGGGTGTTACCTTGTTTAATTTTCTCCCCACAGAAGATCATCACCTTGCAAGGGCAGAAGTATCTTCAGGAGAATTCCTATGTCCAGATGGCCGACCAGGAAGACAGTGACACAAACTACGTGTTGGACTTGTCCATGAAGTCCCGATCCCCCATCAATCAGACGGGGGTGCATCCTGAGAACAGCCAGGAGGTCAATGGAGAGCCGGGGAACCAGCCAGGAACCAGTGACGTGGTGTGGGGACAGGTGAGTGTGTGATGCCCTGATCTGGGGGACAGGTGGGAGCTGGTAGAAGGGGACTCAGTGACCATAGCTGCTACAGCATTTGGGACATTTGACACAGGATAGAAAGGGACTCATGAATGCATCCAGGGGATGTATTAAGTCCACGGGCATTTCTGAACCAATGTGGTCCACAGACCGATAAAAATCTAATTTTCCTCTAGGCATTATCAATCGTGAGGATTGGGGAGAACGGGGTCCAGAATCGCTTTGCCTCCAAAATTGGAGGCAGCGAGCAGTTGAGATACCAGGAGAGGCAGCTTAGAGAATGAAGACTGAACACTGTTGCCCTGGCCCGTGTTGGTTAGTG